TTACTGTCTGGAAGAGCCTTTATCTATCCTGGCCAACAACTCGACTGAAGGTATTGCCTGTCTGGCTTTGTTGTTTGTCGAGTAACTTTTAGTTATATATATGTATGCTCTTATGATATTATGTTGGCCCCTTATAAATAAATAATTTTTAAGAAAGCAAAAAGGATGAAAAAGTGAACTGACCAAAGCTGAGGTGTGGGAGTTGTAGAAGGCCTGAGTAAGCTTAATGTATTTATGTCTTAGTTTCCTTTTCTCTTGCTGAAACAGAACACCCTGAAAAAAGCAATTTAAGGAACAAAAAATTTATTTTAGTTCACAGTTCAAAGTACAGTCCATCACGGTGGAAGACGAGGCAGAAGGTTTTTTTTTTTTTTTTTTTTTTGATAAAGGATCTCCCTGTAGCCACAGCTGACCTGGAATTAGCTATGTAGACCAGGTTGGCCTCAAACTCACAGAGATCCACCTGCCTCTGCCTCCCAAGTGCTGGGACTAAAGGTGTGTGTCACCACACCCGGCTGGCAGGTTTTTAAAATATCTTAATTTTTATTTTATGTGTATGAGTGTATTACCTACATGTATGTAAGTCCACCTGTGTCATGCAATGCCCATGGAGGTCAGAAGAGGGCATCTGATCCCCTGAAACTGGAGCTATGGATAGTTGCTAGCCATCATGTAGGTGCTGGGAATTGAACCCAGGTCCTCTGTAGGAACAGCCAGTGCTCTTAACCGCTGAGTCCTCTCTTCAGTCCTGCTTATTTTTTTTTAAAGACAGGATCTCACTATGTAACTCTGGCTGTCCTAGAACTTGCTATGTAGACCAGACTGGTCTCTATCTCAGAGATCCACCTACCTCTGCCTCCCAAGTGCGGGGATTAAAGTTGTGTGCTTTGGGCCCAGCTCCCCTTCTATTTTTGAGACATGGTCTCATTATGAAGCCCAGGATGCCATTGAACTTATGATCCTCCTGGCTCCACCCCAGTGCTGACATCACAAGTGTGTTCCACCATGCCCAGAGTTGTGAATACAGTCAGTAAACTGTGAACTCTGAGCGCCTCCCTTTGGTACACCAGCTCTTCTGCTCTGGGTCACTGAGCTGCCATCTTGGTCACCTACTGAAGGTTCCCATAGTACATAATCCATTCCCATGCCACCAGCTCCAACCTGTCGCTATGGGTGGAGAGTGGGGTCACCTACCTGAGCTTAGGGGTATCTGCAGACCACACAGGGGGTGCCTCTGCTAGCAGAGCCCAGGTTACCACCCCACCCCTGCTCCTCCAGCCATGCTTAGGGATAAGCAGGTGGCTCTGCTTAGCAGCCCTGAGAGGCCAAAGTGTGATCTGTCCCCTTATCTAGGAAACAGAAGAGGCTCAGGGAAGTTCCCTAAGACAAGGTCACTCTACCTACCTCCTACCACCCTCCGTCTCTGCAACTTTTGCTCTTCCATCTGGTTACAATGTCTTGAAGCCATTTTTGTGGTTGTTTTGAGACAGTGTCTCACTATGCAGGCCCAGGTGGCATGTAGATCAGGTTGGCCTTGATCTCAGAGATCTGCCTGCCCCTGTCTCCCCAGTGCTGAGATTAAAAGTGTGTGCTACCATACCCAGATTAAAGTTTTTTCTTCTTTTTTTAAAGACAGGGTATTTGTGCCATCGTGCCCGACTTACTTTTTTCTTTTTTCCCTTCCTTTTTTTTCTTTTTAAGTTTTTACTTTATGTGTATGAGTGTATTTCCTGTATGTGTATAAGTGCACCTGTATCATGCAGTGCCCTCGGAGGTCAGAAAAAGGCGTTGGATTCCCCTGGAACTGGAGTTACGGATGGTTGTCAGCCACCATGTGGGTGCTGGGAATCAAACCCAGGCCTTCTGCAAGAGCAGCCAGTGCTCTTAACCACTGAGCCATCTCTTCAGACCTCCTTCCTTCATGTTTTGACACAGGGCCCTATGTAGCCCTGCCTGGTTTCAGACTCATTGCATAGTCTAGGCTGGTCTCAAACTTAGTCGTTCTCCTGCCTCAGCCTCTCCAGTGCTAGGGTTTCAGGTGTGAGCCACCATGCCTGATTTCTTACTGTGTTCTGGTCATAGTGTCTATTTTTTAAATTTTGTATTTATTTTTATTTTATGTGTATGAGTGTTTTGCCTGCATGTATGTAAGTGTACTCGTGTCGTGCAATCCCGCAGGTGTTGGAGCCCCTGGAACTGGAGTTACAAATGCTTGCTAGCCACCATGTGCGTGTTGGGAATCGAACCCAGGTCAATGCTCTTAACTGCTGAGCCAACTCCCCAGCCCCCTTGTTTTGTCATTTTATTTTTTTTTTTTTTTCCGGAGCTGAGGACCGAACCCGGGCCTTATGCTTGCTAGGCAAATGATCTACCACTACGCTAAAACCCCAAACCCTGTTTTGTCATTTTATTTTGTCTTTTTTTTTTTTTTTTTTTTTTCCGGAGCTGAGGACCGAACCCAGGGCCTTATGCTTGCTAGGCAAGTGCTCTACCACTAAGCTAAATCCCCAAGCCCTGTTTTGTCATTTTAAAGACTATTTTAACC